GGCGATGGGTGCATTTGCCGACCTACTCTCTATGTCGGAGTTGACATCCGACCCAGAAGAAACTCCCGGGGAGTTTATTTTATCATGTGGCTGTTCCGTCTTTAGCTACCTTTAGCTACCGTTTCCCTTTCTTTTTCCGATCAACAGGACTCGAGATCGATACACGAGAAGGGAATAGATCTTCCCATTTCAAGTGCTGACGATCACCGCTATATGTACCCAGCCTTGGTGAGCACATAGTCCAAATCACGTAAACAATTAGATCCGGAAATTAAGTCCCGACTAATTGCGACGGAACTTGAAAATTCCTCAAGGGGCGTGATTAAGTCGCATTAGGGAGGGGTCGTAGGTGGCTAGAGACGAAATTTCTCTATAAACGCTTGATGTGGTACAATCATGAGGGTCAAACAGGAGACACTGTCCCGAAGAGTTCTCATGAGAAGGTCGTAAACGAGTCGGGGAGGGCAGTATTTGTCTATGTGGAGGTTGCATCAAATCAAGAGGTGGTTATGAATAAGTCCTCCGTTTGCGGGGTTGTGTCCTCCTTCAGAACCCCCTTCAAAAGCCAATGTTCCTCATTGTAACGACGTTCGTTAACGAATTTTCGTCAGAGAAAACTGTGACGTTAGGTTCTTCATCAGCTGACCTCAGCTGGTTCTTCATCAGCTGATGACGTCATTCTACGAAGTTAAACAATTTTTGTTACACTGTAGTCGAAAAAGTGACCTTTACAATGATCACTATTACCAGCATCACCTTCCTATACCCAACCTTTGCAATTTCCCGAAAATATCAATAATTAGGCGGGGATGGTGCAATGGCAATTGGTGCTACCCACAGTAGTCATCACTGAAGTCAGTCAGGGCGTTCCAGCGGCGCGTGGGTTTTGGCGCGACGTCAGTCCTTTTTCCACCGTTTAGCGATTGTCCAAAGGTGCAGCGACCCATGGAAGTGTGTTGGCGCCGCGTCCAAACCCGTGCCCTGGCGAGAGGCCAAGCTGACTTCAGTGATACACTCTACCACACAAACTCTCCGAAGATTACTGATCCTGCTCTTAAACACTATTCCATCCCTACGGATCACGATTTGGTCACTGATTCCGTCTGTTATGACAACAGCACTAGTTCGCTACATCGCGCCGCCCGGAGCCTATCTTAAGCCAGATTAGACTTCAAGGTGTCGCCTTCCGATCAGGGGCGCGCGTCCTCTATGCTGGAACAGCCTCTCAATGATGGGTATCGTACTCGGAGGGAGGCGGGCACGGTCGCTTTGCCTTTCTTAGCGGCCAGAAAAGGTTTCGCTATTTGGTCTATCGGTTTTCGGCTCTCCGTGCGGCGGCAGCAAGACATGCTTGGCTACGCTTCCTACCGCGAATAGATGTGCTATCCGCGTCCCAAGGAGGACTAACGCGCCTGTCCTTTCGAAACAGTTACCCATCACAAGCCGCACCAACTTCCAACTACATCAAAATGTATAACTTTTCAGCCGAACCGCAGTGCCTCGAAGAGGTGACGCTTACAAGGCATACAAGGACCATTACTACGTCTGCTCATTCTGGTGTGCAACTCCCTGCCACGTTAACTTACGAATGCTACTTTGATGGCTACGTTTGGGGCTGTTGTCCAACGAAAGGTTAGATGTTTCAGAAGAATTACCGGCGCATCTCGGCTTGAGGGGGCATTTTGCTGGTCCCGATCGATCGCTTCCTGTGCAGGCATGTAAACTCCTGTCAAGCTCTGCAGCAACGTGAAATTGCTTAGCACTGTCACATCACTTAACAAGAGTCTGCAGACCTCATAAAGGTGAGACGTGTAGCTCAAAGGAACTGGTAAAAGAAACTGGCGAAAGTGCAAAATGCCCCTCCAGCCGAACAGCGCCGAATTACCTTTATAGTTGCTCACCATTAATACTAATCCAATCTTTTCAGCCTACACCTGCACTCTGTCTCCCCACAAGGGTGTGACCTGCGGCAGCGGCTCGTCTTATCGATACTTCTACAACAGTCAAACCCAGGAATGTGAAAGCTTCCAGTACAATGGTTGTGATGGCAATTCGAACAATTTCGCCACAAGAGACGACTGTGAGGGATACTGTAGCGTGGGTGGTTGCCCATCCGGAGGCACACCTGAACGCAACGAATTTGGCCAGCTGATGGTCTGCTCCGCCACCCAGGTCTGTCCGACTACTCACGAATGCACGTCGGTGAATTCTGGCAGCAGCGTCGTGAATCGATGCTGTCCAACTCGCTCATACATCTGCTCCCTCCCACCTCAACAAGGGAGCTCGTGCTCATCTTCAGCTGCTTCTCGCTACTATTTCAACATCGTCACCAAGGAATGCACCCAATTCACCTACAACGGCTGCAGTGGCAATCTCAACAACTTCGCAACCATCGAACAATGCAATAATTTCTGCCTTTCGGCCGCTTGTACTCCTGGTGATGTGGCCTATGTGAATCCCAACACCAACATGCCGTACGAATGTAATGCGGCGCTCAGTAACAGTTGTCCGTCGAACTTCGCCTGTACTTATGACCAGCTGTCCTCGACCAGCGTCTGTTGTGGAGCTACGCATATGGGTGAGTCTTTAGGTATTATACCCGTGCTTGTAGGAATAGTGAGCCTTTTCGCTGCTTTTACTATAATCGATCAATATGGTTGAGCCGCGCCGCGACCGCACGTGTAAATCCTAGAATAGAGATAGTATTGAGATTCGTTTTTCCAGATGTCTGTCCAGAAGGCGAGAAAGCCTATGTGAATGCCGCCGATATGAGTGTTCGGGAATGCTTGATAAATGTCGAAGGATCCTGCCCAAGCAACTACCTGTGCCGTTTCAATGCTCTCAAGAATCGATACTATTGCTGCGCATCGATAACGGGCGATCTCTGCCCTGCTGGAAAAGCGCTCTTCCGCGAAGCATCTTCGAAATCACCTCGTATA